GCGGTTGGTATTTTCGATATCCCACAATCGGGCATGGTGACCTCAAACCCTTGGGACGTAACAGCATCAATAATTATGGGAATAATTTTTGAAGTTGCTATTTACACACGCAGTTGAATGGGGCATCGGTAATTTTTGTGAATTTCCTACGTTATCGATAGATCACTAACGTAGGGAAAGCACTAAAATTACCGATACCCCATTCAACCGCGTGTATAAGTAGCAACTTCAAAAATTATTCCTATTATTATTGTTTAAGTAGGGGTCTTGACATTTTGCACACGGCTTTCAAATGGATAAAATAATCTGTTCAGCAATTTTCATTGAATTCTCTGCTTTTTTTCCAGCTATGGACCCCGCCATAATACCCTTAATCGCACTTTTTTTTTACAAAGCTTGAAGAATTAGCGAAAACACTATAGTTGGGATAAAATATGTCAATACCTTTGGTTCAACAAGTCACTCCAATTCTATATGTAATATATATTTTTAAATAAAGAACACTCCTCTATGAATGTATTCCAAGAATAAATCTTCAGAGATAATTAAGAATAAATCTGCTGGTTAGACGCCAATAGGGCTCATCACTATCAGTTGTGACGGCTTTTCGATACAAATGTTGGAAATACCTTAAAATGTTCGAGGCCAGATTCCATACCCACATTCAATATAATTCATAAAGAGACTATGGTCAGAGTGCCAACAAAACCGCAAAGTACTGATAGAGTACTGGATGCAATAATGTCACAAGTATTCGTAAATCACCGAGGTGCATATTCCTAATTGCAGAAATTACAATTATAACAGAAACAAGTGGAAAAGTGCTCTTGTCTTCATATGGTATAATTATTTTTGCTAATAAACTAGTAATATGCTTCCAAATGGTCGTTTTGCACATCCTTTTCGTCTACGGTATATAATTCATTGTTTATTTTATGTTACTAAATGAATTAAATTTTAGTTAATGTCGACAGATACGGCTAAACAATGCTTGCATTTGAGAAAGCAAAATGATTTAATTCAATCGATTCATTAACAAACAATTGATAAAACCTTTGTCACACACATGCATACACGCATACGCACGGACGGTCTAAAAATCGCATTTCCGGATTTTTTGGATCCTAATGGGTTGATATAACACAAAAAATCCGAAACTTGAATTGAAACGATTACAAAGCTTCCATTCGTAGGCAAAAACTTATTGAAGTCCTCCAATAAATAAATATTTCTGAAAACGGGAAATAATACAATACCCAAAAGGCAGTAAACCCTTTTCTTCTTCAATTAGAGAAAAATTTCTTACAACAATTCAAGTATTTATTTCAACAATTCAACGCCTCTTATCATGTGCACTAATATGGCGCAAGAACACCAATTGGCGATTCTTTATTAAATAACACTTGTACGATGCAGTGAATTTTGGAAACTGTTTGTTTATTCCAATCAAAGCAGTACCCTAAATAGATTCAAATTCATGTTAATACCGAAAAAGTGAAACATTAACCGACACAGCAGAATATCTTTTTCTTCCTTTTCCACCAACGCTGGAACTTTCCACTTTGATCATCATTACAAAGTGCAACCTTAGAAAGACTATCACCAGACAGTGAACCCTCGACAGAAGCTGTCTCACAAATACTTGGATTCATATGCCAGTGTAGCATATCGGATTCAACTTTATCATAAATGTCATGGCACTTTTGAATTGAAATTTTTTCCTCCAAATGATACCTCTCTGGTTCATTACGATGATTGAAAAAATGATTCTCGTGAATATTTATTTTCAATTGTTTGAAATCTTTCAGAGGATTTTCCAATTGTGTAGAACCATAGGATTTCTTTGAATCAGATGACATTTCTTCGAGGGGCAGAAGTGCTATTTTTTTTGGATACAATGAAAAGTCTTTCTCTTGGTAGCCAAATGGTGTTATGGGTGTTGTGATATCACTAGCATTATTGGAAAATTCCATTTTAGTTTGCGCTAAAATTTCTCCTTCCAAGAATATCCGGAAAGCCCTTTTACTTGCCTGAACATGCTTCAAGTTAGTTCGACGAGATTTATCAATGCAGTCATCCAAATTGATTTTGACATTGGGCTTTTTCTGCCGACTATTTTTATGCTGCGATTTCTCCAGATTTCCCAATAATAGTCGTCTCTTTGTTCCTCCAATGTGACCAATCTCATTGGCATTCTGTGAAGTGACTAATTCGAATAGCGGCTGTCACTTACTTGCGAGAAAAGAGTGATCACTTTGCCGACGATGCTGGTACATCAATGGAGCTAATAGACTGCTATCTTTGCTCTTGTAGTGTTCATTAAAGTCTAATCGCACACTTAAAAGTTGTAAGGATACATCTTCAGTAGATGCCAGCATCAAGAGGAATTTCTTCACTTGATCCTGGTAAGTTTTCGATAATACCTTCAATTGCTTTGATAGTGTCGTAAGATATTTAGCGAACGCGTTCATTCTCTCGATTGCGTCGGCATCTGTTGTATTCGTCCTGCCCCAAGTTTTACTCTTTTCACTCTGAGTGTTGATGAATTTGTTTGTTTTCATCCTAGCTTCGTACTCGACTGTAGCTCGTGCTAAGAATGTTTCTTCGATACTCTGGAGACTCAAAATTGGATTGTAAACAGTACGCAACTGATCTCTCAATTCCTGGGAATTTTCATCCAAAAGAGTTCCTTTCTTAACCGAATCCACAAAATGGTCATGAGCAACAATGATATCGTCCAATGACGTCGCTTGCCTGAGATTATTGGCAAAAACATCCCACGAGCACTCAATCACTTCGAACAGAAAATAATATTGCATTTGGTGGACTAAGTGCACCATTGAACTTGTTATGAGATGAATGAGATTTTGAATTGGCAGGACTTCTGGCATTCTTCGCAAAATTTTAGCTGTCGTTATTTCATGTTTCCAAATTGTTGAGAGAATGTACTCCATTCGTTTTGCTTTCCACAGTGAAAAGAATACTGCTTGGTACGTTCCTCTGCATGGCTCCAGTATCTACAACGAATTTATTTTGATGAGAGATTAATCATTAATGTATATTATTGGATACATAAAGTGTATGAAGTAAAATACGGAAGTTGTATTGCCAATTGTGTGGGCTGTATCTCTCTAGAAAAAATAATTGATCCCATGATTATTCTCGAGTAATATTATTGGAAGGTGAAACGAAGGAGTACAATTTTCATTTTATTATTTATGGAATATTCAATGGAAGGTGAAATCGTCCAGAAAGTAACCTCCGTTCAGAAATTGACCTGTTTACTCTATTTTGGCTATTTTTTCTCTAGTGAAATATTTTTTTACGTTTGCAGCCGAACATCAGAGCTTTCATTTGAGCCACATTTCACCCTAAGTTTCCGGACATTTTGCTATGATGTTATTATTTAAACTTTGCAGGTCTGAATTTTAATCTCAATATTGAATTGTAGAAAACATTTTAACAATCGAAAATAAATTACAATGTTTACGTTTAGAGGAAGATTAATGCAATTGAAAAATTGTAATTTTTCAAAATTACACACATTTTTTATAAATATTTCATAAACAATCAATTTTCCACTATAAAAATCATTTGTACGGAATCGTAATAAATTTATACATATTCAGAATTTTACCAGAAATTGTTTTCAAACCTAAAAAAAAACGGTTTCCAAAAGTTCAAACAATTTCAATTATTTATTTATCAACAAGGAATGTTAAAAAAAATCACCGTCATGTGAAAAATGTAATTTGAATGACACTGAAAGCCCATGATTTTTTCCCAATTTATCTCACGCAATTTAGTAGACAAATTTGATGATTAAAAAAAATTGAATCTATAATGTGGTCTGTATCAAACTGTAAAAGATATTTAGATATCCTTAATAAACACATTGATATTCTGGATTTCTTTTTCAAATAATACTCTTCAGAAGGCAGGACCTAGCGAAGTGTCCAAACTAGCGAAGCGTTCATTCAAGCAATCAAGCATTCATTAAAACAGTCAAATGTGGAAAAAAAACGAATGAAAATATTTTACAACTCTAGAAATTATGAAATTAAATTTCATACGAATTTCGCGCTCACAGTAATTGGCGTTATTCAATGGACTTTGGATGAAATTGCAAGACTTACAGTGCCGATGGGTCCATCCACGTTGTAATCTAGCATAAAGACATCCCACCCAGTTTCATTTTCGGAAGGTGGTAGCATTCTGATGTCCAGCCTTCTCTGAACATCAATATCCTCGATTTTCGTGCAAGTCGCCCTTATAGCAGTCTCCAACACAGAGGAAATATTATGTGGATACAAGGAATTTGCTGGTTTCGCCAACTGAGGCTCCAGCAAATGCATGAGGTGCTGAATAAAATGGCCCTGCCCCAACAGTAAGTATCCTTTAATGCCTTGCAGATGATCCATCAGTTGATACTCCTTCGTGAGTATCTCCACAACTCTTGTCGACGTCTCCTTGTACGCAGCTTCCATGATGCTTTGTAGTGGTCCATCAGGATCCATATCGAAGAAGGCCTCAACATTACACTTCCCTGGACCATCACTGAAGATTTCAGCATCCCTTCCATGGAGAGGCGTTGAATCCTTGCAGACCTCTCTGAGGAAATTGATACTCTTCCCTGTTCCGAGGATCTTCCTCGCCTGTGACTTACTAATGAAACTGGGGACCATAGCATCTCTGACTAAATACTTTTCATGCCACATTCTGTCACCATTAACGTTAGGCCGCGCCTCAATGAAAAATTCTTGAAATGGATCGTCTAAGATTCCATCAGTGATCCACCGAATGAGCATGTTGTAGAGTGGCTCGCAGACACTTTCTAGAATTCTTTTAACGAGCTTCTGAACTCTTGGATCGCCATGATGACTGAATTCGTAGACAACGGATGCCAGGGCTCCTCCTTTTTGCTCTTGACATGCACGAACAATACTGGCAAGCCATTTCAGGGTTTCCAGAGGGTCGTACGCCCACAGGTGAAGATGAGACAGGGTAACAGGTTCGAAGCCTGTGGATCCCTGTGCCTTATTAATTTCCTCCTGCATCATTGCTATCAACCGATAGTACTCAGATAATTCTTTATGTAAAGCAGCTACGAGGCTGTCTGAAACTCTACCAGCACCTTTGGGGGATATCCTCTCAAGACCACGACGAACAGCATTGTGTAGGTAACCGAGTTCGCTGAGACGAAGGACTGCCTGTTGGTGATAGCGATTGAGTTTGGCTTGGTGACCTATTTGAAAGCCATACGTTGTATCCAATTTTAATATTCTCCCCTCAATGCCCTGGAATGAGTAGATGAGCTCTTGAACGAGAATATCTTCTGATATGCAGTCTTCATTGAATATCCTGCTGGTGCTCAATGGCATTCCTTGGCTGTTCGAATCTGGTGTGTTGATAACAACTATTTGGGCTTGAGATCCTGATGAAGGGGTCTGTGCACTCGTTGATGCCACTGGTGAAGGCAATCCCAGACGCATATCGTGCAAGGAAAACCTGTCGCGCTCTCCTGATTGACTCATGTGGAGCAGAAACACGAGAATTCCAACTCGATTTCTCAAGGGATTGTCTTTCAAGTCATTCATCAATTTTTCCAGGTAAATATTTTCTCTAGTACTGAGTTTATTTTTTATGTGATTGATTACGGATATCTCGTCATCACGAAAAGCCTCAACGCCCTGAGTCGACGATAATAGGCCCAGAGAGAACCTCATGAATCTTCTTATGACCTCTGAAAATGGGGAAAAAATGATGTAGGTCAATTTTCATTTGTGGTATTTTTTCAATTGGATGAATGTCATGATAATGATTAACCTCACCTGGTTTTTGTTCTCCACACATTGACGTTATCATTTGTTGAATCAGGTCGCTGACTGTCTCGGCTTCTGCTGCACTCATGATTCTCAAATATTTTTTCAATTTTCATAACAAAGAATAAAAAAAAATACTTCTAATTGTTCATTGGAGATTTCTTTTGAGGAATGTCAAACGACGCCAAAACCCAACGTCAAATCGATCACGTGATATTTTTAAAGAGCCTTCCGAAAAATTTACGAGATGGCGCCTTAGTAGATTTTTGCGCGGTAAAAAAGCCGTGAAAAAGAGTCCCAACTACTGTCATTTGCGATTTGCGTTCAATATCTGCCGGTTGTGGGTCTGAACGAGCCTTTTTGTAAAACCAACGAGAAATACATTCATCGTTGTACCAGCATTAGAAATTGATATATTAATTAGCAAATCAACTTCAAATAAAAGGTATGAACAAATAATTCTCGTCGAAAGCGATGGAATTCACTTTAATTCTTCGATTGTGTGGCCAACAAACGACTTAACCATTGATTTCATTGTTGATCGTTAAGACCACAATTGCTCAGGAACATGGAGGGATCAGCAGAAACACAGGCATCAGAGAGTCCGGACGACATGATGAGTAATCCAAGACCAAGAAAATGGGGAGAAGATCTCGATGATTCGTTTTATCCTGCTAGCTCTGGAAACAATGCAATCATCAAACAAATATTGGAGAAACAGACACTGGGAGAAAGTATTCCAGATGGGGTAAATCAGGAGGGGACTATCAAGGTTAAGGATTTGAACAGCAGAAAATTCAGGTGAGAATAATTCATTCATCATTAATTGAAGAAATTCAATGGGAATTTTCCGATTAGGTCATTATCCAATTTACGACGAAATATGAGGAGATTTTGAAATGAGGAATCAAATTGTTTTGATAATTCGTCGTAAACTCAACCAGTAGCGAGAGGATAAACCAGTTAACAAATATTTTGTATTTCCTTCGGCTTTTTTACTAGCTATTCCATTAATTCTAATTCTAAACTTTAAGGAGGAATGTCAAAAGACATCAGTTGGAAGTGACAAAATTCCCTACGATAATTGTTTCTTCACGTACGAAAAAATTCAATAGAAAACCTAGCGAAATCGCTAGAAAATTCTATTTGAATTCTATAGGAATTCTATAGGGTTTCTATAGGATTTCTATTGCAATTCTATTAAAAATTCTATTTTTTTTTGCGCTGAGTCTATTGGATCTTCGATAAGGAACAGTCAATACATTTCGAATTTCTGTTCGAATTTTACTCTTGAGGTTTTTTCTATTAGAATTATTGGGCATAAATTTTCCAAGTTTTCTCCGCTGGATTTTGTTTTGTTTTGCATTATAGAATCCGAGTGGAAAAAACGTGGAAAATTGATGCCCAAGCATTCTTATAGAAAAAAATCTTAAGAGAAAAATTCAAACAGAAATTAAAAATCTATTGACTTTTGCTTATCGAATATCCAATAGAATCAGCGCAAAAAACAAATTGAATTTTTCAATAAAATTCCAGTAGAAATCCTATAGAATTCCAATAGAATTTTCTAGCGAATTCACTAGGTTTTATATTGAATTTTTTCATGCGTGTTGACATTTCCTCCGAAAATTCATAGCAGAATGATCCAACAATCAAGGAGGAGAATTGATTCTCTCAACTGAAATCCTTTGATATCTCTTTTAATTTCATAATAGGGAACTTATTATATACATTTTTGGAATCAAAAGTTTAGGGCCTGAGAAAATAATATTGCAATCACGACCGTTTGACATATTTCTCATAAAAAATGGCTTTATTGCTACTGTTTATAAAGAATGGATGAATCGGAGAATTAGGAAATTTGCGTATGAAAAAATCTATACAATTTCCTATAGCATATCCTATGGGATTTTCCAGATAGGATTTCCTATAGGATTTTCTATAGGATTTCATATGAGATTTTGAACAGGATTTCCTATAAAATTTAAGGGCATACGGGCCACAATGAGGGTCAAAAGTGTCATATGGGGATCATGTGGGGGTCATAAAAGAAATAGAGAGTCATAAAGGGTTATTAGAGTCATTTAAGATTAATATGAGGGTCATACAGAGGTCATATAGGGGTTATATGTGGTGCTGCTCCTATGATCTCTATATGGTCGCCATATGACTCCCACATGATCCTCATATAAACCCTATACTGAGAGAAAAACGACAAAGTTCTCAAACAAGTCTTGTGGTAAGAAAATAGTTTTTTGAAAATGATCAAAAAATGATTTTTTTGGGCCAAACATGCAGAGAGTGCGCCGGAATGAAAATTTTTTGTCGCAGACATAAATTTAGTAGTTAAAAAAAATTGCATTCACTGTACACGCAAGAAATGTCATTTCTAGCACTACTCCTTCGTTATTCGATACTCCCATACTTATTTTGCTCCCAAAAAATCGTTGTTTTATGCGAAACAAGGGATAGTAGTTTTTCGTTTCGACTGTCTAATAATCACAGACATGAAATGAATCCTTAAATGAAATAATNCAAATTGAATTTTTCAATAAAATTCCAGTAGAAATCCTATAGAATTCCAATAGAATTTTCTAGCGAATTCACTAGGTTTTATATTGAATTTTTTCATGCGTGTTGACATTTCCTCCGAAAATTCATAGCAGAATGATCCAACAATCAAGGAGGAGAATTGATTCTCTCAACTGAAATCCTTTGATATCTCTTTTAATTTCATAATAGGGAACTTATTATATACATTTTTGGAATCAAAAGTTTAGGGCCTGAGAAAATAATATTGCAATCACGACCGTTTGACATATTTCTCATAAAAAATGGCTTTATTGCTACTGTTTATAAAGAATGGATGAATCGGAGAATTAGGAAATTTGCGTATGAAAAAATCTATACAATTTCCTATAGCATATCCTATGGGATTTTCCAGATAGGATTTCCTATAGGATTTTCTATAGGATTTCATATGAGATTTTGAACAGGATTTCCTATAAAATTTAAGGGCATACGGGCCACAATGAGGGTCAAAAGTGTCATATGGGGATCATGTGGGGGTCATAAAAGAAATAGAGAGTCATAAAGGGTTATTAGAGTCATTTAAGATTAATATGAGGGTCATACAGAGGTCATATAGGGGTTATATGTGGTGCTGCTCCTATGATCTCTATATGGTCGCCATATGACTCCCACATGATCCTCATATAAACCCTATACTGAGAGAAAAACGACAAAGTTCTCAAACAAGTCTTGTGGTAAGAAAATAGTTTTTTGAAAATGATCAAAAAATGATTTTTTTGGGCCAAACATGCAGAGAGTGCGCCGGAATGAAAATTTTTTGTCGCAGACATAAATTTAGTAGTTAAAAAAAATTGCATTCACTGTACACGCAAGAAATGTCATTTCTAGCACTACTCCTTCGTTATTCGATACTCCCATACTTATTTTGCTCCCAAAAAATCGTTGTTTTATGCGAAACAAGGGATAGTAGTTTTTCGTTTCGACTGTCTAATAATCACAGACATGAAATGAATCCTTAAATGAAATAATAATAATGATATAATATCAATCTTGTAACTTAAGGATAAAATATTTGTTGATAAACTTTCCTCTATACGAGATATTTTCATCCGGAAGAGGCACCGTCTGGTGTGAATTATCCGCCTCTTGAGCCAAATATTTCGTTGCTGTCGAAAGCAAAACAATTATTCATGTTTGAGACTTTCAAATTCGAACCAATCAAATTCTTTTTTGGCAATTTTCAACTAGTGATTTTGTTGGCCCCAACAAGACTTGTTTGACAACGTGTTTGTTTTTCTCTCAGTGTATATGACTCTTTTAGGCCTCATTCTGACCCCTATGACCCTAAGTTTGATAGGAAATCCTATTAAAAATCTTATAGGATATCCTATAAGACATCCTGTAGGAAATCCAGTCGGAAAAATCTGATAGGAAATCCTATAAGAAATCCTATAGAAAATCCTATCTGAAAAATCCTATAGGATTTTTTCGTACGTGAAAACTTACCTCCATGGCAATTGCCTATTGATTGGTGCTGCCAATGATGCAAAACATTAGTGTCACATTTTTGATGGGTTTTTCAGGGTGACTATTACTGTGCAAGTCAGGTCAGTCCATCCAGGCGGTATGATAAAAACTAAAAACGGAAGACATTGTCTTGCTTTCACAGTTGGTGATGAGACTGGAGAAATAAAGGTCATGGCCTGGGAAGAAGTTGCAATACCTCTGTCAAACCTACTCGAGGTTGGACAGTCCATAAAAATAATGGAGGGGCATGTGGAAAGTTCAAGATACGACCCAACACAATATCTCATAACATTGAGTCAAGGTAGCACAGTTGAAGTTGATAAAGGGAATGGAGAAACTTATGTGGTTGGTGCTCGTGGATGTCAACCATCTTTAGTTCGATCGACATCTGACACAAAGCTAGATGGACTTCAACAAAAAAGACTCTGCTTATCTGGTGGAATAAAGAAGAAAGTCTCTGCATTAACATCTGCACAAAACTGTGACTGCATCGAATTAGAAGTGAAGACTATGTTAACAAATGGAGTTATTTTGAGTTCGACAGGCAAACAGTATCTGCGTTTTATTGGTAATGATGACACTGGAGAAATTTGTTGTTCAGTTTTTGAGCCTCATTCTCGCACAGTAGGTCCTCTTATTCAGGTAATACTCAAGGGTGTGTCATAATTTTCGTCAATTTTTCTATTTTATCCAAAACTTCTTTGCAGTTTTTCTGTTAAGGGGAAACGGAACCCCTGCGTTTATATGAATCTTTAGAATTGAGTTTTCTCCTGCAATTATTATTGTTTATTCATTAAACTACTTCATTGACTCAACAATGCGATAATCGAGTCGATAAAGTAATTTCATAGATAGAAATTAATAATTGTAGGAGAAAACACAATTCTAAGATTTGATGCAGACAAAGGGGTTCCGTCTCCCCTTAAGGGGAGACTACTATGAGTTATAAAAATCGCGGGCTATTGGAGTGAGATTTCTTATGCATTGAAGATGGATTATATATGTCTAAAAACGAAGAATTAGTGCAATAAAATTAATCGTTTATTGTTCGTTTGCCACGCAGACGCTTTAAATGTTGAAAATAGTTCAGGGGCTCTAATTTTTGAGCTGCAGAATTTTTTTTTTTTAATTTTTGAAAAAATGTGTAAAATAATAATTACGAATCAATTTTTGAAATTCGACTCCTGCACAGCTAATTTCGTTTTGTTTAATATAAAAATTTGCGCCATTCATGCAAAATGGACAGAAAAATAACCCTTAAAATAGATGAAATATATTCTCGAGTTTTTCAGAAACATTTTTGGAGCTATTTGAATGGTGCAATTTTTTATTAAAAAAAAAACAAAATTAGCTGTGTAGGAGTTGAATTTCAAAAAACGAATTCATAAGTGTTATTGCACACATTTTTTCAAAAATTTTGAGAAAAAATAAACCTTTGTAGCTCAAAAATTGGAGGCCCTGGACTATTTGTAACATTCCAAGCGTCTGGGGGGCAAACGAGCAATGAACTATTTTTTTGCACTAATCATGCGGTGTTAGACATGTATAATCGATTTTCAATGAGTGAGAAATTTCATTCCAATAGCCTACGACTTTAAAAACTCATAGTTGTCTCCCCTTAATTCAACATTTTGGGAATGATTAGGTTTAGAAGAGAATATCAAAGGAAGTTTGATGTTGGAAATTTGAAAATTTATTTGAAAAATCTTCTGATATTGTCTCCTGAGACGCCATATTCTTGAAATATCCTTTCAAGAATTAGTTGAGATTTTTATGTTAGATATGAGGTTTATCTGTTATTTATTTTGTTATCTATGAAATTGGTAGACTTAAAATTTCCTTTTCTTTAATAAAAAATAGGATCTTGACATTTCTTGCTGAGTCCACCCTTTAATGATCTTATTCTATAATTCCTAACGAAATTAGCTTCAATTTTGTATGAAATATTTTGCTCGTTACGATTTCGTGTATAAATTCATAATTAAATATTGTGTTTACAGGTGGGAGTTTATCTTCAATTGAAAAACATAAAAGTCAAGGCTGTCAACACAGCCTACTCCACATTCTGTAACAATGATTTTGAGATTGTTCTTTATTCTGAGAGTCGCATAGAAATTCTGGAAGAAAAGACTAGACAGGTTGCAGCAACTGGTGAAATATCTCCAAAGCAGGTAGAAGAGCAAAAAGCTTCCGAGCCTATCAAGGACCCCGAGATTCAACCAATGGAGGTAGAATCAACGAACCTTCCTGGTGCAATCGCAACAGCAGCTGCTGGAAGCTGCTTATCTCGTGTACAAAAGCAGAAAATCAATGAATTAACACCTAAATCGCGCTGTATATGCATCGAATTGCAAGTGGCGGTGATGTTAACAGATGGAGTTGCAACGAGTTGCGGGGGGCGGAAGTACGTCCGTTTCATTGGTAGTGATGATACCGGAGAAATTTGTTGCTCAATTTTTGAGCCGCATTCTCTCACAGTGGGTCCTGACATTCAGGTAATTCTCAAGAATGCATCATGATATTTAAACAAAATTTTTCTGTTTGATAAAAACCTTCTCTTCCATTTTTTCATTAACTAAATATTTCGAAAATGATTGACTTCAGAAAAGAATGTCAAAAGAAGTTCCATGTCGAAAATTTGGAGATTTATGAAATCAAATCTTCTGATATCGTCTCTTCAGACTACACTTTCTCCACATATTGGTCCTATAATTAACTGAAACCTTAATATTGGACATGATATTTTTTATTGTCTTCCTAATGAGTTGATGGAAAAGAAAATGTCGAGGCAACGTGTTTTTTAAAATTCCTTTTTCGTCAACTGTATACGTTTCTTAACATTTTTTGCTGACTCCACTCACCATTCATTCTATTCAATAATTCTCAATGAAAAATTAGTTTCAATGAAACTTTTTCTAATTATGATTTTGTTTGGGATATGGATAAAATCATAATTAAATTTTGTATTTATAGAAGGGAGTTTATCTTCAATTAGAACGTCCAATACTCAAGCCTGTCAATAGACAATACACCGTTTGGTGCGAGAATGCTTTCGAAATTAATCTTTCTCATAGTGGTAGCATCAAAATTCTCAAAAAAGAGACTAAGCAGGTAGCAGCAACTGATGAAACACCTCCCGAGCAGGCAAACGAGCAAAAGATATCAGAGTCTATTGAACAACCCGTAATTCAAGCGACAGAGATGAAACCAAATGTCCCGACTGATGAAATTGTTCCAACCGTTATGACACTGGCTGACATAATTAGAAGGCCCCCACATTTTGGTGAAAGGTGAGTGAAAAATTCTCAACCATTGAATTTTGTTATTTGGGAAAATATTTCTACAATCATCGGTTCAAAGAAAACATGTCAAAATTTATGTTTCGTCGATCAGAAAATTCTCAATAACAAAAATTTTCTGAATTTTTTATCCAAAATCGCTGATTACAGAGATGATCTCCCAAATAATAAAGATATATCTGTAAAAAATCAACAATTCATTAACTAATTCATCATTCGTTCAAAGTTACACGTTCAAGGCATATATTGGACTCGAAGTGAAGTGCTTCGTGTTCCCAGAGCTTCTCACAGACTATGAACTACCTAGACATTATATTTTGTTGATTGGAAAAGGGGCAGTCGGGGAAATTTGTTGTTCAATTTACAATCCCCATAAGATTGCCGGAGACATTAAAGTGGGTACATATCTGAAAATGAAAGACGGGCAATTGAAAGCTGTAGACCACAGATGGCCCATGTACTGCGATAATCCTTTCGAGATTGTGATAAATGGAGGGGACAATATCGAAATTGTAAGGGAGCTGAGTGGAAGTGGAGAAGACAGAATTGTTAATCTTGATTATTTGGATCAGCTGGAAGATCAGAACCTCTACGATTTCGTTGGTGAGATGATGGAATGAATGAATGTTTTTCTAGAATTCAAAAATCATTATTAATGTGACGATTTCAACACATCATTTCTATTTTCGTTCAAAATTGTCTGATGTTTTCGGTCATATCTTTCGAACATTTTATCAAGAGACCTTTTTCACGAGATATAGATTACAAGAAAGATCTCTCGAAAGCTTCTCCTGTATAAACTCGTTTTGTGATGATTGCATTGATATTAAACAACTTCATATTGACGATGAAACCTATGCTCATCACGTATTCAATGAATACGTAAAAATGACTTTTGAAGTTTTTTGAATATAGTTAGAAAACGAGAGAATTTAATAATTACCAGTTCATATGGATGGGATAATGATTTTTCCAGATGTACTTGGAGTGCTGTGTCGTTTCGAGAATCTTCAAAACGTTCTATTCGCCCCTCTTCCTGCAATAGTAATTACGGATAGCTCTCGTGTTCAGGTGAAAAAGCAAAAAATTATTTTCTACGATTTCTAGTTGAAAACAAATATTTCATCATTCGTGCAATTATTTTGATAATTATCGATTTTCAGAGAAAATATTACAAAATTTTTCTTGTTGACCCTGGAATCTCAAATACTGAGAATTTTCGAATATTCTCCTCTGAACTTAATAATTAACGAAATTGTTGCGCACAGGGAAAAAAATATCTCTTATTTTCAATTGACTTTGCATTTTCTCCATCTTTCCATAGGTACCTATAATTTTCGCTAGGTTATCCTGGATGGATCGCTCCTTATCTGTTAATACGATAGTCAAATGCTGCAACCTACAAGTGCGCAAATTCCGGGGAAATTACCAACTTCACTTCGTGCCGGGAAAATCAAGAATCACACAACAACAGACAGACGAACTAAGCGAGGACGACAGGTAACAATTCGTCAATTAAATAATTTTTCATGTTTCTTTCATTAGAAATAATTATTGTTTTCGAATGGAAGCATTGAAATAGTTCGGTTTTTACATTTTGTAATTTTTTTCGGAAATTATATAGAATGGTTTAAATCGTAAGAATACAAAATTTGGTGACAACGGCCATATGGGCGGGTATTCGCCGGCAGATCTTTTTCGCAAATCAATTTTCAGTAATTTGAATAGTTAAGGATATCCAAGTAAGGATAAGTTATTGATTCATGAACAAATGATTTTTCAAAATATTCTCGATATTTCAATTGTTGAATGTTAAGATTCGGATCGGGAATTTATTGGTTCGACCGGTAATTTCTCCAGTTCAATGCTTTTCTTTACAATGATTTTATTATCTAATCTTTACAGGTCTGAAATGAAATCTCAATATTGAACCGTTAGAAAAATTTTTAAAAATCTGAAAAAATCAGAAAGTTTACTTTTGGAGAAAGATTAATGAACTAAATAAACAAGCAGGGGTTCGAGCCTTTTTGGCCGAAGCCATCTGACCGTTACTTTATGTGTTATAACTCTTTTTCTTTCTTTCATTTCTACCAATTCCATTGGTAGTAAGCTTCCGAATGGGATAGAAGGCATTCGGATAGAAGGCATCGAAACAAATATTTTGAAAAAAAAAATTGAAATCGGTTGCGCAGTTTTGAAGCTGTTGAGAGGAAGATTCTGTACAAATTTCAAGTTGATATCTCAATTTTTGCACAAGCTAGAGTGATTACAAGGATTTTTATGAAAAAACAGAAAAACGGAAATATCTCGAAAACTTTGTATGAACGGGTATATATGTTTTGATTGATTCGGATAGAAGGCATCGAAACAAATATTTTGAAAAAAAAATTGAAATCGGTTGCGGAGTTTTTAAGCTATTACACATAAAAGTTTTCAGAGAAAGTTGAATATCTCGAAAACTACCCATGCGATTGAGCTTATTTTCAATAAGAAGGATTGTTATCATGAGAGGAAGATTCTGTCCAAATTTCAAGTTGATATCTCAATTTTTGTACAAGCTAGAGTGATTACAAGGATTTTTATGAAAAAACAGAAAAACGGAAATATCTCGAAAACTTTGTATGAACGGGTATATATGTTTGGATTGATTCGGATAGAAGGCATCGAAACGAATATTTTAAAAAAAGAAAATTGAAATCGGTTGACTAACTTCGAAGATATTAGCGAAAAACGATTTAAAAACGAATAGCTTTTTCTCAAAATAGCTTTTTCTCACAGAGTTAATCCTTAAGGTCAAGGTCTATAATCTAAGGTTAAGGTCTATAATCTGACAAAATTTCAGATTTTTTGGAATAAGTTTAGCCAATTAATTAGTCAATTTTCCAAAAACTGACCACCGGAAAGGTGGCGATGGACATTGACACCGACAGACATGGTCGCCAAACTTCGCATTTTTATGTTTCAGATCATTCTACATAATTTCCAATCAAAATTAGAGAATGTGAAAACAGCACGATTACAATGCTTCCATTCGGAAGCAAAAATTGCAATTTTTAAAAATTACGAGTATTTTTTTATAAATAATAAACAATCAATTTTCCACCATAAAAATCATTTGTACGGAATCGTAAAAATTTATTCATGTTCGTGATTTTACCGCAGAAATCGATTTCATGCCTTAAAAAACTGAGGTTTCCAAAAGTGAAACAATTTCAATGATTTAATGATAAACAATGAAAGTGTAAAAAAATAATAATTTTGTGCTAAAGATAATTTGAATGATGCTGAATATTCATGATTTTTTTCATTTTTTTCCCGCAATTTAATTGACAAATTTGATGATTGAAAATGGCTGAATCTACAGTGTGGTCTGTATCAAAGTGTAAAAAATATTTGGATGTCCTTAAACCACTAAAAAAAATGTACAAAATTAGAAATTTGGTTCGATAGTATAGAATTGGACTAACTACATGTAAAATTTCAGTTCGATCGATTCATTAGTTTGTGAGAAGTAGCCATTGATTTGTAAATAGTTTCTTTGTAAATTCTTCCCTGATTCATCCTTAATTGATATTTTCATATTCTATTCTGACATGGATGACCTTTCTGCCTTTTACATATTTACCCACCCCACATCTGCGTTACCATGGGCCGGGTGGGCACGCATCCAAGTACTAACCAGACTAAACGCTGCTTGTCTTGAACGCCCACCGGAGCCGCACGCTACTCGTGTAGGGATGGGCGATGTTCGCCGATTAATCGAAAACATCGATTTTTCATGCCCAAACATCTTTTTTATTCGATGTTTTGAACGGCCGATTAATCGATTTTCGATTCTTTTTTCCAAACATCGATGTTCCTGGCCAAGCTAACAAAATTTTTCACTTTTGCTTCCGAATGGAAGCATTGTAATCGGTCGATTTTTCGATTCGCTAATTTTGCTTGGAAATGATGTAGAATGGTGTGAAACGTAAAAATACAAAATTTGAGGACCATGTATGTATGTGTGTCCGACAGTGTGTGTCGATTTTTTGGAAAATTTTTATAAATCACGACAAAAAAAGGACTAAAGTTGAAGCTAAAAATCTGAAATTTCATCACATAATTAGTATTACTTTGGAGCATTTCTGGGCGCAGTTTCAGCTCAATCGGCCCAGTAGTTTCTAAGATACAGCAACTTCTCAAAAATCTTTGCTCCTCAATATCTCAAAAACTACGTGACGATGATATCTATCGGATCAAATCATAATATTGCTATGTAACTATAGGCAGTTTGGTAACAATTGGCATTTTTTATTTTTATGAAAAACTCGTTGTAAGCACTTTAGCGCCCGGAAAAATCAAGATAGAAAGTTGAAATTTGGTACGATTGTAGTTCTTATGATATTACAGGATGGGATTGTGGATGGGTAGTTTAGGAGATATTCAACTTATTGTGAAAAACTGTTATGCTTAATATCTCCGAAACTACTGATCCGATTGACTTTTTTTTTCATAATATTTGTCATGGTATCTTCTATCAAAATCAATCAATCAAAATATGCATACCCTCCCATACAAAGTTTTCGAGATATCAGCGTTTTTTTAATTTTTTAAATTAAAATTCAATGTGGGCTCTATAATACGCGTTAAACTTGGACTAAACATTTGAGATTCTGGCTCCTAATTTGCATGATTAATTGTGGGACACATTCGTGTATAAAATTTTGTGTTAATCGATTCAGTACATCCTGGCATAGAGTAATTCATCCGAACTGCTTTTTTTTCTGAAAAATCGCACATTACTATTTTATCAATGTTTTCTATCTCTGCATGACTTCAAAAGTCATAATACAAATATTCAATAATTGATATTCAATTATTAGGAGTCCTTAATATGAATTTAATCATTAAAATCATAAGGATGAAGACAATTGATGTAAGACAAAATATTACAAATTAAAATCGATGGAAAAGTTGGAAAATGATGGTAATGACAAATTTTTCTTTGAAAGATAATAATTAATTAGTAGCACCACGAATATACTGACTGATTCATGACGCCTGTCTCTGACCATTTGTGGGGACACAGAGGAAAGAAAAATGTTACAAATATAGGCGTCGCGTTTTGGATTAATCATACGTCATAAGAAATGGAATGTGCAGAACCAGTACGTCTGGCTGCCCAAATATTAATACTTAAAAATATTGATCTTGATCAATATCAACGATTTTTCAATTTTCAGCGAAAAACATGCGAAAAAACGTAAAAGAATGATATTTTCTTATGAAATTTGACGATTTTCCATGAATAAATGATGGGATGGAATTTTTTTTTTTACGAACAATGCATTTTCATGGGACTCGACTCTGACTGGATTGAAATTGGAATAGTCTCGGCATTTTTTAAGTTATTTAGATTATTCATAATTAAGGAAAATTTCAAAATTGGCAACTTTACTGTAATGACCAAAAGGAATTGGCCAGGAAGTTATTGGTGAAATCCATAACGGGTCATATCCAATTCCACTCACTCGTCCGTGTCGCACTGAAACCAAGGAATAAGTGATCGGCACTGTTTTTTTATGTGTGAAATTGGAATTGCTTCCATTCGGAAGCTTATTATCAATGTAATTGGTAGAGAGAAAAAAAATAGTAATGATGCATAAAGTAACGGTCACATGACTTCTACCAGATAGGCTTCTACTCCTGCTTGTTTTGTCGAAGAATAATGTTGATTGATTGAGAATAAACAAAAGAATAATTTATCCACAATAAGAAGTAATTATTTTCTGCAGTATGCATGTTATAAATGATAAATGAACAAGTCCAGTCTGTTGTTTTTATTAAATTGAAATTTTTAATTTGTTTTTAATTTAAACTTTTCACAATTGTTGCAGCTAACGGAAAATATCCAATATATTTTTTTCAATTAATCAAAAACCCTGCGTCGAGATTCAAAAATTAACTCTCCAGCAGTACTTATCATTGAAATGTAAGTTCCTCGGGTTGTATTTTTTTCTTCTCCTGTGTAATAAGAAAACCATCGATTTTTTAAATAATCGATGTTTTTTTTCTGAAAAATTGATTCACAACATCGATGTTTTTAAAAAACATCAATTCTTCGATAATCGATGTTTTTGAAAATATCGCCCATCCCTATACTCGTGTGACCACTACTGTCGCTTCCCTATATTAATAATAATTCTCTCAAAAAAAGATTATTGTCGATTTAATAAATTTTCTATATTCTAGCGAGTTTCTGCTCTCACATCGCCCTGAAGACTAATACGGATGCAAATTGATGTCCAAAAGAGAAACTATAGTATTTTGGTATTATTCTGATTTAAGTGTTTAATTAGATAAGATTCAAAGTTTTGTACCTTTCGTTTACAATTAAAATGTTTTTTTATTATTTTTTGTTACAAGCATCTATAAAAAAAATAAAAATTGAAGAAAAGTATTACGAATTGGATTGAATTTGATTTTTTTAATAAAATCTAATGAAATAGATAATTTCATGCATGCAGACATTGTAGTCCGTAGGCTGAGGAGGTTTTTGCAAACGTTTCAAGTCGAGATGTTTTTTTACTGGACTCAAATATTTTTTGACCTTCTTACTACGAATGTCGCGGTCCCCGAGACGAATTTTTGTAACTTTTTTTGTTATTACTAAATCATGAATAAATAGTTGAAAATGCTTTTTTTCGGCTAGAAAAAAGTTTTCTATTGTTGTGTGTGGTAGAATGGTCGAGTAATTATGGACTCGATCTCAGCAATTTAGATACTAAAGTTCCTTTCTTCCTAACTCAAAGTTTAACGGGTTAATACAAAATTAGGTTAAAATGTACTCAATAATGAACTACATTGGTAATGAGCTCTCGAGTCCAGTGTGTTCTCGGTTTTTATTCAAAAATATAAAAACCTCATTTCTTCATAATTATATTATGGAATATTCTGGAATACAATATCCCTCCCGGCCAGAGAAGAAAATTCATGTTTTTTGTGAATTTTCTCACCACTGGCTGCACAATAATATACATATATACATATTGGTGGAGAAAATCTTAAATCTAAAACAAGGGCGACCACGGGCGACCTTCCTAAAGCTATGGCCTGCTAATCCAAAAACTCCTAGACCAATCCTATTAATCCTTCACCTATTAATTTCGTTTTTTCATTCCTACGGACGGAGCCTTGCTTCGGTCCCTCCTGTCAATTCTCTGAGTGCTGAACGCGTTCGTCGGCACCAACAGTAAAGTAGGGGAGGTGGTGGCAAAATGGACCATGGGGGCAGAATGGACCATTGAAAAAAATTGACTTTTTCTAAATTTATTCATAAGTAAGGAGGGGAGGGACTGTGGGCGATGGGTGGAGGACTTGTGAAAGGTAAGAAAGGAAGAGGACTAGAGGGTGGAAAAGAGAGTGGGTTGGCGGGTGGAACAGTTGAACATCTTTTTCTTCCAATTATTTATTATGAGGAATTCAATTCATATAGTATCAAGAAATTAAATTAAATACAATAAATAATAACAATCATAAGCGAAAATCATAGTCTAGTAACAATATTTGGCATGAATGATTATTCGTACTGCTCACAAGTGAATTATTGCACAGGGCCTGCGTCCTCATCAATTAGAGCCCATCCATCGATCCGTCGCACGTCTGGCATTGAATCCAGACGGAGAAAACAATACCAGAAAAATTACTGTGCTTGCACGGTAAAATGCACAGTAATTTTTCTGGTATTTTTTTTCTCCGTGCACTCTCTTCCGCTCTCATAAAAACGCTTTCGACAATAAACGAAGGAAATATTATTTGCTTCGTCCGATTTCTTTCTAGTCTCTCTTGAGTTCACCTTACGTCTACGTCTGCCCTGTTTTTTTCCACTACTAGGCTTTCTGGACTTACAGAAAGGCTTTCTGGACCAGCAGCCTAACAACATTGGTTTGACAGAAGTACACTGAGAGAAATATCTACATAATATCACAAAACTAATTGCTTGCGCCAAATATCTCATTTCTTGAGGATAAATTTCTTGGGAGAAGAATTCCGGATAATGTGTCAGACAATGTCAGATTTCAGTGAAGTATTCATGACTTGAACATGAACATTTTATGATAAAATGAGAATTTCTGGCCACAAGAAATCGGTTTTTTCGTGTCAGAAGATGAGAAAATGATTAGAAATACTAAAAGCTTTGATTCAGTGAATTATGAATCAGAGACTTTCATATTGAATGAATAGAGAGTTTATGCAGAGGAAAACCTCCAGATATTCAAAAACTATAACCGTCGCTTACGATGAATAGCTGAGTTCGAAGGAAAGCAATATCTTCTTTTCTTTTTGTCAAACTTCTCTTTTCCTTTACTATATTATGTCATTGCGAAAAAAACATCTTATCATTCAATAACTTCCTCCTTAACCCGAAGAGCACTGACTTCTTGTCTGAAACTTATAAATTGATTAAATACCGTGAGTGTCCCAATTTCCGCACGGGACCCCTTTCCCGGACGCAGAGCGCTCTTAGGATAGAATTTAGCATTTATCACATATTCACAGTCATCATGTGCATTTCATTTTGTTACATGCGATTGTCCAATTATTCCCCTTTAAATCACACTATTGACGAATGTTCCACGAGTTTCATACAATTATTAGAAATTAATCTACGTAAGAGTACCCATGGCTGGTTTCTGAGCTGGTGGTTGTATAGTGCGCGAACGTTAAAAATCATCGATATTGCGTAAGGATCAAACAGCAAAATGTAAGTGAACAATTGATTTCAATAGGTTTCTAGTAGTTGAGCAACAAATTTGGAAAAAGCTGAAATGAAAAAAAGAGAAAAATAATTGTTTTTTATGGAGGAAATGTTAAATCCGGCATCTCGGACGACTGAATTCGCGGTTGGAGGAGTTCCCGCACATGTGATTTCCAACCCTTGACCTCAATGTTTTTTTTCTGTCAGTTTCTTTGCTTTCATAAAGATATATTATTTTTTGAAACTCTCGTGCATTAGATAATGAAAAAATTATGAGAATAAAAATAAAAATAACAAATATAACAAATTCATCCATTTTTTGAATCTTCTAGGCCTGGAAATACAGAAAAAAAGCCCGCAAATATATCAATGAGGACTTGCAGAAATTTCTGAAGACTGTCAATTCAGGAAGGACTGTAGGATGAAAAAAAAAGAACTTTTAGATAATAGTTGTGGAGACGCTAACGATTCTCACAGCCCTCCCGAAAAAATCCCTCTAAATGAACCATAAACTCAAATATTTTATTGTCTCAACGTTTTTGTTTGTCTATTATTGTGTTGATCATAGTTTATCATTGTTGAAATAGTAATAAAATTACACTTAATATACTTTTCACAACTGATTTCCTATATTTCTCAGCCTCTATTTCACTGTGTCCGAGAATCGGGCACACGATATCCGGCAACCCGGCTAGGTCAGTTTTAGTCGTCCGAGGACTCGACCATAAGAGCTATGATGGTTTTTTATGAATATTTATCGAATTCTTCGGAATTAAAGTTGAAATCGAATGTCTTTTTGTCAAGAACTGATCAAAGATGACTCATGAACCTTCAGAATTCATAATTACAAAAAAAAACACACAAATTAAACGCTATTGTCTGGTAGAATATTCTTAACCGTGCGGCAATTGGGACACTCACGGTATGAATGCGATATTTTTCGCTCAAGAAATGATTTTTGTGATTTTATGTCAATTTGTCTCTCTGAGAGCTGAGAGCAAAAAATAAACAAACAATGAATCATAATTGATTCATTGTGTTATCAAACCAATAGTTCGCTGCAGCTGGGCCAAGGCCGTAAATTTTACCCTGGATCCACGGTAGATTCTCACTCACATCTTGTCTGACATCTCTGCTATGAACTCTGGTTTTGAACTCTGGATCCAGAGTTGAAAACCAGAATTGTGGCAACATTGTCCAGTGGGGTCTAGGAATCTCCCTTGATTGGAAAATCATCCTTAGAATCATCTGCACTATATTTCGAGACCCGCTCTTGCACTCGGGCCTCAAAAAACATTCACATCTTGTCTGACATCTCTGCTATGAACTTTGGTTTTGAACTCTGGTTTCAGAATGGAAAACCAGACTTGTGACAACAATGTCCAGTGGGGTCTAGGAGTCTCCCCTGGTTAGAAAATCGTCCTTAGAATGATTTGCATGCTATTTCGCGACCCGCTCTTGCACTCGGGCCTCAAAAAACATTCCTATCTTTTCTGACATCTCTGTTATAAACTTTGGTTTTGAACTCTGGTTTCAGGATGGAAAACCAAATTTGTGACATCATTGTCCAGTGGGGTCTAGGAATCTCCCTTGGTCAGAAAATCGTCCTTAGAATCAATTGCACGCCATTTCGCGACCCGCCCTTCCACTCGGGCCTCAAAAAACATTCACATCTTGTTTGACATTTCTGCTATGAATTTTGGTGTTGAACACTGAGAGTAGAGTTCAAAACCAGAGTTGTGACTACATTGTCCAGTGGGGTCTAGGAGTCTCCCTGGTTGGGAAATCACCCTTAAAATCATTTGCACTATATTTCGGCACCCACTCCTGCACTCTGACCCCTTTAGACAAATATGAATATTGTTGAGTAAACGTTCACATAAAAAATTTCATCTTTTACTTGCGTTTAGTCAACTATTTGTCAACTATTTATTTCATTTTTTATTTGCGTTAATCTAGACTGATATTCGTATTCAATGAATTAATCTTTTGAAAAAATGATTTACTAGTCTACTATCTGCATATCACTTATCAATTGATTCGATGTGTTTAGATTATTGTCTAGATTTAATTTGAGAAGTAAAAAGTGAGTGTCCACGATCTCCCATATATCCACGGTCAAAGTTACCATGGAGCGTCTGAATAGACACTGCCAATTCTCAACATATGCACCCAGAAAAATGGTTTATTTGAATTAAATAAACTTTATTTGGATCAAAAAAATCCTCTTAGAATGAAATAACCCATTTTTCTGCATGTGGTAAGTTGAAAACCAAAAAGTGTTCTTCTATCAGCTAGAAGCATACATTTTTTGGGTTTCAAGCATACATTCTATCAGCATACATTTTTCAATTAGATGTTCAATTTTTTCTGTTTTTCAACCGCCTTACTGCTCCCCCTCCATCAGTCATATCTACTCTTCTTTCCCACTACTCCCTACCTTCTTTGTGAAATAAGTGTGAAAAATGGAAGGAAAGGAGAAATAAAAAATTTTTTTTTAAATTTTTCCCTTTTTCGGAGTGGGCCATTTTGCCCCGCGGTCCATTTTGCCTCCACCTCCCCTACTAATATTGTGATGATGAGGATTAATGTTGTCGCACCAGACAATATTGATGCTGGATGTTGACAGAATTCCGGAATACCATAAAACGTCATTTGTATCTAG